CTAGCTATTTAGGAGGGGAGATCTGAGGATCAGGGTTCCAGCCCTGGCAGGAAAGTCTGTGAGATCCTGATCTCCAATAAACCACTCAGAAAACTGGGAGTGGTACTCTGGCTCAAGTGGTAGAGCGCTTGCCTTGGGTTGAAGAGCTCAGGGAAAGCGCTCAGGCCCAGCGTTCAAGACCCAAACTGACCAAAAAGAATAGGCATACAGAGCAATCAAAATACATTTATATATCTTAAATGTGTATTATCTTGACAAAGTAATAATAACTTAGTCTAGTTTAAAAATTGGATTTGCAAATAATGACATTACCTGGATTGAGGATATTGTGTTAACAATCTGACATCCTTGTATTGTATGGGAAAGGAATAAAGTAAAAATGAATAGTGATGTTTTAGTCATGTTGTAAGCTCTAGAGTGAACAAGTATATAACTTCCAGGCTAAAGAAAGGAAATAGGCAAAGATTCTCTTGTGTATCCCTACTCCCACCCACGCATAGATGCACATAAGCCAAAGGAATTTACAAGAGGCAGGACATATAGAAAACACATAATATTTAAAGGTTCATGTAAATTGTACTGTGTTAATAGGATTAGTTAAAATTCAGAAGATTGATTGGATGAAGAACATAAAGCAGTTAAGATGCTGTTTGTAGGATCATTATCATGTAAAATATAAGGATAGCAAAAGATTGAAATAAAAAATATGAAAAGTCAAATTTTTATTTAGAAATCAACTTACTTACTGTAGTCTTTGTTTTGTTTTGTTTTTTAGCTGGTCCTGGGGCTTGAACTCAGGATCTAGATGATGTCCCTGAGCCTCATGTGCTCCAGGCTAGCACTCTACCACTTGACCCACAGCACCACTTCCAGATTTTTCTGAGTAGTTTATTGGAGATGACTCTTACAGACTTTTCTGCCTGGGCTGACTTCAATTGTTATCCTCAGATCTCAGCCTCTTGGGTAGTTGGTATTATAGGCATGAGCTACCAGTGCTGGCCTATTTTAGTTTTTATTTTTAGTATCTCACCCTCCCCCCTCCCCCCCCCGCATTATTGGATTGAACTCAGAGCCTCCTGCCAGCTTGCTAGGCAGGTGCTCTGAGATAGGGTCTCTTCTACTTGTGTATTACCATGTTGCTGGGGGTGATGGTGCATGCCATACTCATACTCATTTATTGTAGGAGATATGGAGTCTTGGGAATTTTTATGTTTTGGCTGGCCTCAAACTTCAGTGCACTGGTTGTCTCTACCTCCCAAATAGAATAGGTTTGAACCACTTCTCCTGACTGATTAGTTTAAAATGTGTTAAACTGCATAAGGCCAGGAATAAAGATGCTTTTGAAGAAAAGCTTGTGCTTAATACATATTAAGGCTTACCATAAAGTTATACCAGTTAATGCAGTGTGATATTGAACCAAGGATCAAGTGGAAAAGAAGTGGAATAAAATGGAATAGAATAGAGTGCCCAGAAAGTTTGTATTGCTTAATGACAGGATATATTCTGAGAAATACACTGTTAGACAGTTTGGTTGTTATGTGAACATAAGAGAATATTTTTACAACTGTAGATGATATCATATCTCAGGGAAACATGGTAAATATGAGCTAGTAGGATCATGCTAATTTTTTTTATTATTCTTGTTTCTTTTTAATGTGGCTTTGGTCTTTGAACTCAGGGTCTTACTGTTGGTAAGCACTTTACTACTTGAGCTTTTACCCCTTACTTTTTTTTTTGTTTTTCAAATTTATTTTTCAGATTACATGCTTTTCTTTGAATCATCCTCCCAATTATTGCGTTTGCCACCATGCTCAGCTCTCATGTTGTTTTACTATAAACTATTACAATTCTTATAAGTTGGACTCCAATCTCTTAAATTAGTGATGAAACATGGATTCCACTTGATTGTCTGTAATTAAGTACAGCTCCTTGGCAGAGGCCATAGGGGAGTTATAGTTCTAGGCCAGCCCTGGCCAAAGAACAAAAACCACAAAGCCTTCTTGAAAACAGTTTAAAGCAATAGGGGATGGGGAAGTGGCTCAAATGGTAGAGCTTCATTCAACAGATTTAGCAAGCTGAGACCTTGAATTCAATCCCCAGTATCACCAAAATCAATCAGTAAAAAATGCCAATGACATAATATAGTAACATAGTCATTTATTACTGTGCATAATGGTGTGTGTTCTATTTCTGTACAACTGGCAATGCAGTCACTGTGTTTACAACAGTATCACCACAAACATGTGAGTGATGTATTCAGCTATGATGTCACTACATTTTATGAATTTCTCAGCTCCCTAATGTCTTACGGCCAACTGTTTGTACATGTGGTCCGTCCTTGTCTGAAATATCATTACATAGTACATGAATGTATTTATAAATGTTTATGACTGTAATACCACTGCAGAGCAACAATTGAGAAAAGATAATCTCATAATAAAATGACCTTTAGAAGTCAATTCTTAGTACATTATAGACCTAGATGTGAAATGCATAACAAGCTTCTAAAAGATAATATAAGAAGGTATTTTGATGACATTGGGGTAAGCAAAGACTTCTTTTAAACAAAACAAAGAAAATAACTGTGAAGAGAATATTGTTAACTACATTACATTTCTCCCGAAGAGACCATAAGCGTGAACATAAGAGACCACTAACGTGGAAGAAGGCAAGCTACAGGATGGAGGAAGCTATATACATGTTTCCACCAAGTAGAAACAAATACGAAAATTTTAAAAGAATACTTTGAATATCAGTATACATGGGAAAGGCATCAATCTTAGTAGCTAGAGGACTGCCAGTTGAAACAATAAATACATCAGAATGTCTAGGAAAGAAACATTGACAGTAAGTTTATGGGTGTGTGCATGCTGGTCCTAGGTCTAGAACTCAGGCCTGGGTGCTGTCATTGAGCTTTTTTGCTGAAGGCTGGCGCTCTACCACTTGATCCACAGCTCTACTTTTGGTTTTTTGGTAGTTAATTGGAGATAAGAGTTTCAAGGAGGGCTGGGAAGGTGGCTCAGTGGTAGAGCGCTTGCCTTGCATGCTCAAGGCCCTGGGTTCCATTCCTCAGCATCACATAAGCAAAAAGAAAAAAGCCGGAAGTGGCGCTGTGGCTCAAGTGGTAGAGCACTAGCCTTGAGCTGAAGAGCTGAGGGACAGCGCCCAGGCCCAGAGTTCAGGCCCCACGACTGGACCCCCCCCCAAAAAAAAAAAGAGTCTCAAGGAGATTCCTTCCCATACTGGCTTGGAGCCAGATCTTAGCCTCCTGAGTAGCTAGTATTACAGACGTGAGCCATGGTACTTGGCTGACATTAAGTTTGCGGGAGAAATTTTATCAAAACAATTTTGGCTTGGGGGTTTTAAACTTGTGCAATTGTTTATGCACCATCCAAAGGGGAGGTGTGTGCGTGTGTGTGCATGTGAATGAGTACATGAATACATGAATGTCTATGTACGTAATTTCTCTTATCTGCAGCATCCTTTTCCTCAAGAATCAGTCCCTAGTCTGTTTCTTTTGTCTTGTCTTCTCTTTCATATTAAAGCTCTTCCTAAAGTGTTTGGTGAACCTTATTTTTCTTTTCATGCTTCAGTATGAAGCATTGAAAATTTGAAGTGGAAGTTCATGCGTGTGAACAGAGCTTGTCCATTATTAGCTTTTATTTTAGGCTATCGAAGTCACAGCCTTTGAGATGGGAATCAAATAATGGAATATTGGGGCTATTTCCCCCCCAATTTTTCTTCTCTTGGTTTTTTTCTAGGAAGAAAACTCTAGCTTATCACATGCAAGTCAGATGTCTCTTGGATTTCAGTGGATTTAGACGATCAGGTCTTTGCTCTTTTCCTATAGTTTTTCTTTCTTAGTGTCAAGTCGTAATTGAGTTCTCAAATTTTCTATTGGTAATGTCTCTAAAATTCTAAGCTCAATTGTTGAATATCATAAAGAATGTGGTCTCTCAAATGGCCTTTGTAGTAGGATTGAGAGACTATTAATTGTTAATGATGTGCCAGATCTTGTTACGTGTGTTGTGCTACAAGCAGGATGCTTACTACAGTTCTCCAAATACTACTTACAGACTGAAGGTTGTGAGTCTTGACTGTGAGTTAAAGACCATTGTGTCTCAATATCCTGGGGTTGGAAGGCTTTTATCTTTGTACTTAACCTACCTTTCTACAATCATTTGTTTAATAGAAAGTTTTATGAATGAGCTACTTTGTGTGGCAGAGTAAGAATCACTGATATATAGAAGATTTAGTATTGTGCTTCTTAATTCTTCATGGAAGTCATTTTTGTAGAATTAGCATCAAATATTTTGTCATCTGTTTAATATACTCTGATTTAGATTGTATATCAATAGTATACCAACGGACAATTCATTATTAGTACCTATGGCATATTGTTACAAATTCATAAGTTATATTAAATCATGCCAAAATTGAATATAAAATAATGAATTAAGGAATAGTTGCACTCTGTATTTAGCAAGAAATTTATGAGAGATCTTATACATGTTGTAAATTTATGCCTTAAAATAATTTTAAAAACCAGAAGTTATGGCTAATAATTGAGATCTTAGATATTTGAGAATCTGAGAGGATCTGAAGGATCATAATCCGAGGTCAGCCCAGGCAAAATGTTCCCCAGACCTCATCTCAACCAGTAGAGGGCACAGTGGTATGTGCCTGTCATCTCAGCCACACAGGTGGCCAAGAGTAGGCCAGGAGGATCATGGTTCCAGGTCAAGCCTGAGCCAAAAAAAAATTAGTGAGAAGTCATCTCTAGAGAACAAGTTAGGTATGGCTGCATGCACTAATTGTCTCAACTATGGCAGGAGTAGTATGTAGGATATGCTGGCCTAGGTAACACCCTACCTCAGAAATAGCCAGCAAAAAGGCCTCACTTGTAAAGTGCCATGCTAGCAAGTGTTAAGACTGCTCTTTCCTCTCCCCCTAAACTTCAGAAAGTAAATAATTTTTGTGACTTTATTTTTTAATTCCAGTTTAATTTTGTTGGGAGAATCCTTGGACCGAGAGGACTTACAGCCAAACAGCTTGAAGCAGAAACAGGATGTAAAATAATGGTTCGAGGCAAAGGCTCAATGAGGGATAAAAAGAAGGTAAGTCCCTAAATACCAACAAGTCTTGATGTGATTAACTCACACTTTGGCATTCTAGTAATAAAGCGCTATATTAACTCACAGTTTGTCATTCTAGTAATAAAGCTCTAAATCGTATAGAAGTTGAGCGCCATATTCATGTTGGAAAACTAGAAACATTGTAAAGGTGCTCCCTTGATTTTCCCTGCCTATTCACATTTTTCATTTAAGAATTGGTGACCAGTTATCCTAGCATGTTAACTTACCTCGGGAATATACTTATGAACATAATTTGCAAATTAGAGAATCAGGTATCTATAAAAACATGCAACCCAAAGATTGAAAAATCTGTGTTTCCTCTTCTTGTTTTTGATTGTGTTAAGAATGGAACCATTGCTCATGATAGAAGAGCATTCCCAACGCTTTCCTAAAAAATTCCTAAGACAGTGTCTCACATCCCTGGTCCTTTATGGAAACATTCCCTAAATGTCTTGCTTCAGCAAAAATGGTCCTTTTGATGTAATTTAAGTGAAATGGGTCAGATGAGTGACTGGATTCATGGCAAGTCGTTGAGACAAAAGATGTGGAAATCTGTTAAAAGGAAAGTTAACCATATGAAACTGGTTCCAACATTTTGTCTTGATTATAACAAGTATAAAACACGCTGATTCTATTGTCTAGTTTAGTCTCCTGCCATTTCTTGTTTAATCAGCAAATGTTGAGCCTAGCTATTTTTTAAAATAGTTTTGAGAAGAGTTTATTATTTATCTAGCTCTCTTTAGTAATATTGTAAGATAGAATATTTCCTATTTAGGTTTATAAAATGACTTTTTAGAAATACCCACACTTTGATTGTGAAGTAATAAAAGTATTTGGGGGAAGAGTGATTTTTTTTTTTTTTTTAATACATGGATTCAAACTTACAGGAGCTCTCAAATATACTGTGTCATTCAGGTGGAGTTCCTGGAATGCACATGAGACCCAAAGATATCCAGACACCATTCATTGTGCTTTTGTTCAGAGCTTCCCACGAGCTGAGGCTAAGCTGAGTGCATTTCAGCTTTTTTGTTCCCTGCAGACAAAATGATTTAATAGATATGAAGTTGAAATTGAAAAGTCTCCAATAATACTAATTTTCTTTAGTCACATTATAATTTAGACTTTTCAGTTGAATTTGCAAAGTATTTTTATGGGAATATGTGAGTTCTTACACTAGTTTTATTTTGATTTTTAAATCTCATCTTACGGTATTCTTCTCAAAAAAGTACTGCCATATTTGAACTTAGGATGGCAGTGCCTGGGGACATTGCATGCAGTCTTGATAAGTGAAATCTGTCTTCATGACAATATTCATGTATATCCATTAGTGAAGTAATACCTCAGTTAGGTAAGAAAATACCCTTTTCTTTGTCCTGAGCCTTGTAGTCATGGCCCTCTGCTCCCTTCAAGCAGCCACACATATGCACAGGCAAGTTTTGGAGCTTAAATATATTTAGACATTATACATAGAGAATTTTCTGTAGTCCTGGACAGAAGAAAGGAATAATAAAGAATGAGCTCTGATCATAAAATGTTTAAGTTTAAATCTTCTTTCTACATTAGATAAGCTTTGTGTGACCTTGGACTAAAATGTAACCTCCTAATGATGTGTGATGTGGGAGTAGTAATCATCACTTAATCTCTCCTAATGAATATGAGAGTCACATGAATTGTAAAGAACTTAGAACAGGTTTTATCACCTAGTAAGTGATCAATTAATACTTAGGATAATTTTTAATGTATTTTGTTTTAAACAATAGGCTAGGTACAATATTTTATTTTTAGACTCTTACATTGTATTATGAGGAAGATGACAACTTTTTCAGCTTTGAGAATGAACTTACTATCTGTGTCCTACATAATTGTAGCCTTTCTGGTTTGTTTCTACAATGACTGCTATTTCCAAATTTTGTTTTGACCATTTGTTCTTAACCACAAATAGAAATAGTTCACATATTTTATTTTCTACTATTGTCTACTGAAATAAAATCTTACAAATGATAAACAATGTAATAAAACAAATTAGCAAATTAAAAGACCAAAATAAAATTCAGCTACAGATTACATGTTTATTTTCATTAGATGCTATAAATGAACATGTTTTGATGAAAGATGTTAACTTGGATGGCTTCTGTATGGTTGTTATTATCCTTTGTGAATTTTGAGAATTTGTATATAAATATACTAGTTCTGTAGAATATAATTATTAACTCGTCGTGGTTTATGCTGAAATTATTCAGATTTTAAGTGTGAATAATAAAGTCATTTGGTACTTTGCTGTTTGTATTTTGGCAAAGAACATGACAAGCAGATAAGCATTGATAGAGATATTAAGGCTGATAGAATTGTATCTTAAGTTACAAAGGAAAACAAAAAGCTATTTGACTTTAAGCCTTTCTGCCTACTTATCAGTACATGTTAAAACTATAAAACCAGAGGAATTTACTGATTGCTTCTTTTACTTTTAACAAAAGTGTGATGGAAATGCTTTGGCTAGTCTGAGTCCTTTAATGAAGCATAGACTATGTTTTATGGCGTTTTTGCTGTTTGTTAAGTCCCTTGTACAGAGTAGGCACTAGACACAGTGCTATATTTAAAAAATAGTGACAGATAATAAATGACAGAGAGATGTTCCTCTTCCTTCCTGGCTCCCCTGAAAAGGATTTTTGCAAATGAAAAAAATTGTAAGTCCCCTGGGTTTTGGGGCCTGAACTCTGGGCCTGGGCACTGTCCCTCAGCTCTTCAGCTCAAGGCTAGCACTCTACCACTTGAGACACAGCACCGCTTCTGGCTTTTTCTGCTTATGTGGTGCTATGGAATCGAACCGAGGGCCTCATGCATGCAAGGCAAGCACTCTACCACTGAGCCACCTTCCCAGCCCAATTTTTAATTCTTTTGAGAGAATTAATATTTCACTTTATTTCTCATTCTTTTGATTTGATATTACATCTTTATTGATTGGTTTAAAAGCAGTTTTCCTCCAAAATTTCTACTCCACTGTGGAACCTGTAGATAGGAACTACCTTTGAAGACATGAAAAGTTGTGAGAGGACTTTTAATAATGATTAAGAACTTCTTGTCTGTACCAGTACATAAAGCTGTGTCCATCTGTATCTGTCAGTGTCTATGGCAGTAGGGAATTGCTAGAATAACATTTTGCTAGTGAAAATGAGCTATTTTTTTTGATAATTCTATGGTGCACACTTTTGTCAAACACTATTATAAATAGTTCATCTATGTTTGTTTAGATTAATTTGAGTTTTATTAAATCTGTTTTGTAGGTGAGGAAACGGAGGTTGGGGGAGGTTGTGTGCTTTGAAGAGATGCATGCCCAAAAGTCATAGTCAGGATTTGAACCTAATGCCTGTGCTCTGTTCTTTGGTATAGTGCCTTCTAATTGTTATAGTTATTTCTAAGAGTGATTAACAACTTAAGAAATACTAGAACAACTTGAATGTTGTGAAACACTGAGGCCATAGTTGGAGGTATGGCTCAGTAGGGCACCTGCCAAGGAGCCTACATTGTCACAGAGCTAATTCAAATCCTGGTCTCAGATGAAAAATAAAATGAGAGAGAACATTGAGGTTAATAGCAATATATTCTGTAAACTTAAGTTTTTATTTTGTCCTCAAAAAAAATTCAAATTTGCTTTAAAATTCTGTTTTAAACATAGGATACAAACCAAAGTGCTTTTTTCTGCTGTCTAACAACATTGAGTGTATTGCTATGTATCCCCAGCCCAGTACTTAGCTCTTCAGGAGATGCTTCTCTGGATGGCATACTCACTTCCCTTCCCTGTGAACACTTGTCGTCAAGCATCCAGATGCTGTCTGTAAGGACAAAGTAGCAGATCCTAGAGGTTGTGGCACTTAGTTTCACTTCAGAAGCTGTTTGCAGCCCTCAGTTGTGACCTGTTTCTGACCCATCAACTTTGAATTTCTTTTCCACCAAGACTGTCCTTAAGTTTGCTTTATTTGCTAAAGTAGGCTCAATAGAAGTTAGGAAACCACTTTTTACCATGTTTATTAATTAATTATGACGGATACTAAATATACCTGGAAGAATAGCCAGAAAAGGTGCCAAGAGGAAGGCATGGGGAGTGGTTACAAAGCTTCCCATTACCTCTGGGAAGTGCCACCTCTGGTGCTTCAGTTCTTTGAACTGTTGGGTTTTTGTGGAGGCTTCTCTGAGGAGTGATGATTGGTGACCCATTCAACCCTCCCCTTCCCTGCCCTCCCTTTCCTGGAGGAAAAGAAGTCTCCTGTGCAATCTTTGGATTGCAGCCGTTTAAGAACATTTCAAATGGATCTGTTTATTAAATTCAATGTAGGTTTATTTTTGCTGGAAATATTCAAGTTATTTGTCTATTAATCTGGGGTATTGTATCTGGGGTATCCTTACGTGAAAAACAGAATCAGATCATTCACTTCTTTGTTGTTGGTTCCATCAGCATAGATTCCATAGTCTCGTTCGTGTGTGTGTGTGTGTGTGTGTCCGTGTGTCCATGTCTCGGCCCGCCCGCCCGCCCGCCCGCCTGCCCGTGTCTGCCTGCCTGCCCGCCCACCCCACCACTGGGGCTTGGCCACCCCCCACTCGGAAGCTAACTAAGAACTCTTAGGTGTTGTTTAGGTTATTATTCCAAAGACACTTATTTAGGAACTCTGTTGCCAAAAAACAAATTCCAAATGCACACATATGTGCACATAAAAATTAATGATCTTATTTTACAGGTTGAATATCCTCTATTTGAAATACTTGGGGACTAAAAGTGGTTTTGGTTATGGTTTTCTGTTGTTTTTTGGAATATTTGAGTATGTATAATGAGGTACCTTGGGGATGGGACCCAGGTCCAAGTAAGAAATTAATTTGTTATATATATATATATTACACGAAACCTGAAGGTTAATAATATGCGGCTTTCTGTTGTACAGCTGGTTTCTATATAACTTGTATATAACTTCTATATAACTTGTACAATTTGG